CGCACCCTCTCTGCGAGGCTCCAGTTCCTGCGCCGGTGCAGATGGGCGCCAGGGGTTGCTGGCATACCCCTCCCCTGTCCCTGGGCCGCGCCCCGCTGATTCTCGTAGCCATCGCGTGTCGCAGTCCTCGCGCCGGGAAGCTGGGAGCGCACATGCACACGGCTGGGCTCACGCGCAGAGCGTGGAGGCCTCGCGCTGGCCACGCACGGGTCTGGGCTGGCTGGCCGACCGCTGGAACGACATGCGGCCACATGAGCATTCAGCTCGCGCCAGGGGTGGCGACTCCGTGCGTTTCCAGACTCGTGGTGCTGCTTTTCTAGTGGGGAGCACAGAAAGGGTTCCATGCCCGTCATGCTGCGCGTGGGTGGAGCTTCCCCGCGACCCAACTCCCTCTTCCCAAGCCCGCCAACCTTCCACCCCTTTTTCCTCTCCCTCCTCCTCTGCCGTGCCGTTTCTTCTTGCCCACCCAGGCCTCTCCCAATCCCCCACGCCATCCCATCTGTTCCGTTGGCGTCGTTGTCCCGGTGTCCTGAGGCCTGCCTCGGCCTCGCAGCGAATCTGGAGGAGCGGGCCACCCGAGTCACTCAGTCAGTGGCGAGTCGCCCTGCCTAGAAGCAGAAACAAGTCATAAACGAGAACTTGTAAGGTCCGCGAAGAGGCCGAAATTTTATCATTGTGAAATTTCTTCTTCATCTTCTTCGACTGCTAGAAAACAGGTCCCCCAGCCCAACCTCGTGGGGGAAGCCTGGCGCTCACGGGCCGTCCTCCTCCTCCTCCTCCTCCTCCTCCTGCTCCTGCTCCTGCTCCTGCTCCTGCTCCTGCTCCTCCCCCTCCTCCACCCTCCTCCCCCCTCCTCCTCCTCCTCCTCCTCCTCCTCCTCCTCCTCGTCCTGGTCCCCGCTTCCTCCTCCTCCTCCTCCTCCTCCTCCTGAATCCTTTTTCCTTGCAAATGAATTCTCCCTGTCGCACCCGGAGGCCAGTCGAAAGGGCGGGCTGGGCGTTTCGTCTGAGACTTCCTCTTCGTTGATGATCCTGAAGCTTCATTAATAGTTGCAACAGTTTCACGGATGGAGGGTGGATGGCTTTCAAAATGAGACTCTCGCCTTAGCGCCGCGTGCATTCGTGTTCACAGCTTGTAACAGTTTCACGGATGGAGAGCGAGCCGCTTTTCAAATGTGGCTCTCGCTTCAGCGCCGCGTGCATTCGTGTTCGAAGCTTGTAACAGTTTCACGATGGAAGGCGGGCCGCTTTGAACATGTGGCTCTCGCTTCAGCGCCGCCGCACACATTCGTAAAAACAAGTGCAAGCGTCGCATGCATGGAGGGAGGTCTTCTTTCAAATTGTGGCTCTCGCCTTAGCGCCGCGCGCATTCGTGTTCAAAGCTTGCAGCAGTGTCGCGGATGGAGGGCGGTTCCTTTTCAAACTTTGGCTCTCGCCTTAGCGCCGCGCATCTTCGTCTTAAGGGTTTGCAGCACTTTCATGGGTTCTCATGGTTAACTTCCCAGAAGTGGTGTTTTG